GTTAAAATCCGCAATCGCTTAGTTGCAAAATGTTAAAATCCGCAATCGCTTAGTTGCAAATTGTTAAAATCCGCAATCGCTTAGTTGCAAAATGTTAAAATCCGCAATCGCTTAGTTGCAAATTGTTAAAATCCGCAATCGCTTAGTTGCAAAATGTTAAAATCCGCAATCGCTTAGTTGCAAAATGTTAAAATCCGCAATCGCTTAGTTGCAAAATGTTAAAATCCGCAATCGCTTAGTTGCAAAATGTTAAAATCCGCAATCGCAACCCAATAATAACTAAAATACTACATGCCGGAGTAAGCAAGTAGTATAACCAGAAATATCTCGGACGTTCGAAACTCGCCTCACGTTTCTAACTCGGTGAATCAATTCTGCGACAAAACGTCGAATTATTTGTGAAATAAATTTATAAAAATCTCGGGAACAAATAGATCTCTGTTGAAAAACTCGGGCTTTTCGTGGAAAAACAATAAAATCCCAGTTATTTCGCTGTCGATGTGCGTAATGCGGTAGATAAGTGAAATCTCATAAAAATGCATGGGACGCCGAGAAATATCCGCGAATGTTGGAGGGTGGAGGGGAAATTCGAACGCACGAGGGGTGCTAATGCAGTGTCACGCGTTTTAGTCTCGCATCGAACATTCAATATCGCCGATTCGAATCGGTACAATTTATACGCGCGCGCGCGTCACCATTGAAAAGTGTTTATGTGTCACGGAATACGCGCGGGGATTGAATTTTTCAAAAGAAAAATCGTCGACTCTATCCGATCGTTTAATGAAAACATTTCATTGTTTCGTTTTTTACCCGCGTGCGTCAATCGTTCGTGGATATAATATAAAATATGTGTGGGACTATTTGTTCGTTCGTGAAAAAACTGTTGGATAAAAATGGATTTAATCAGACGGTTAGTGTGACGGTTAGTGTGCACGTCCGGAAGTTTGTTCGACATTCGGAAAAGTGCGAGGACGTCGGAGTTTAGTTTCTCTACTTCCCCTCGTCGCTCGGGCGAAATATTAATTTAATTAAACTGAAACGCGTTTCTAATTTAATAATTAGCGTGCACGTTTACCGATTCCACAGTTCTGCGTTTAATTAATTAAAATCGTGAGGATGTAACTGTTGCTATTTGCGAAAGCGCCAAGTTAAATCGATTATGCGAGTTTGATAATTCTTGGTTTTTTTTTTCTGTTCAAGGAATTCCGAATTTAATTTAATATTTATGTATATCAGTTTTATTTAAATTCTATTAATTGATTGATTGATTGATTGTTGTCTTCTTTTTTTTTTGCAGATATTCACACGTTTCGGCAAGGTTTTGAAGATCGTCACCTTCACCAAAAATAGTAAGTACCGAAATGAAACTCTCTAAATTAGAAGTTGGAAAGTTTGATGAAAGCAATTTTCGAGGTTCGTGCAATTTTTATAAAATCCGAACTTCCACTGACGTTCGAGCAAACTTTCAAGAACATTTAGTTAAAGAAACATAGAAAAATCTTGAACGTTTAACTAGTTTAAAACGTAAGAAAAAAGAAATGCTAGCGAACAACATTCTATTCTTAAGCTCTGAAGCAATGTAACGATTTTTAAACAACACTTACATAGTTCATACGTTCGTGTATTAATTTGGGATCTTAAATACAAAAAAATGATACACTTACATAGTTCATACGTTTGTGTATTAATTTGGGATCTTAAATACAAAAAAATGATACATTTAAATGTATCGAGGCTGAAGGAAATAATTTCTAACATTCACTGTAACAGAAATAAAGCAAATAAACATGATTTAATTATCAGTAAATTAAATACGAATGATAGTCGAAGCATTTCGCCGACTGATAACGCAAATGATTTGTTCTCTAAACAAAAGAGGTTTGTAGCAGCTGCCAGAGTTTCTCGAATTAAAAACATATGTACGTCGGAAGCCCCGGGGCGACACGCGCACGGAAATTCTCATTTTTCATTCCATTTCGCTCGGTTCACGTTTGAAACCCGTTTTGCCAGCTGCAAAGGAAGATATAACCCCCGTCTCTCTGTTTCCCGAATCGAAAATTGAATAACCAGCCCCACGGCCTTCTTCCTCATCCCCCCCCTAACCCCCCCTCCGCGTTATTTTTTTATTTCCTGTCACGCGTTTTAACAAACCCACGCCCGAGGTACTCACAGATTTATTCATAATTCTGATTCTCTGGCTTTTAAATGATAATTTTTAATTACGTCATAAATTAAATAATATATAAATCGGCGATTAAAATAAATAAAATAAAATCATTTATCGATACAAGATAAGAATTTTTTTATCATGATTTGATAACAGATTTGGATCTGTAATTATCTAACGACGAATCGATTGCGAAAGCTTCTGCGAATAGCCGATGACAATTCTGACCGAAAATTGATAAGTCCAACGAGCGTAAGCTTTTGATGCCAAAGTCTCCGATCTCTAATCTCGGTATTTAGTTACCGAAATTCCCCCATGCAGAATTCCGGCGCCTGTCAAATCCGACGCTTCGGAAACTCGAATCTCCGCATTTCCAATTCCAAATTATTTGATCTACGAATTGCCTTGTAATTTGAAGCTTTCATCCACGTAATTGGGTCAACCATTTTGTTTTCGACACTCCATCAAAGTATTATTCGTGTTCACTATAGCATTACGACTTAGATTTATTATTATACTCGTTGCTTTGTTCGTTAAAATATAGAATTATCAAATTCCTAATTGCTCTTCTAATTTTTTTATAAAAAATAAAATTCTCCCCATTAAACCCAGCAAACATAAATTTTCCAGTTCGAGTAAAAATGTTTTAGACCAAAACCAATGTAAATAATAGAGGATTTGTAAATAGCGTGGGTGTTTTCGGGACACGCGTTATATACTCGAGTGGAAACAGAAAGTATGTACTAACGGCGTCGGCAGGATACGTTTCGAGTGTACAAGTGAAGTACTAAAGTGCCGTGGCGTGTCTGCTCTGGCGAGGAGTGCTATACACGCGCCGCGGTGGTGCCTGCCTGCCTGGCATAGTCCTCCGTATACGCCACTGCTCTGTAGCTAGAACCAGAGTGCAGAACAAGAGCCACTTTTGCAAACGCCGACAGTCTTTGCTCCCACTAGGTTTTTTTTTCTCCTTTCTCTTTTTTTTTTACCAAACCCGCTGTTTCGTGTGTACAACAAATTCATTCAATTTATCCGTACACGCTTTTTCTATACGCTATACATACACGTTTTGTAATACAAAATGCATTCATGTCGTGTATTATATTTCCTAGGATTAAATGTATACACGAAATGTAGATACAAATTTTATGTACTAAATCTATGCAACTTTTTGGTGGATATTTTATAATAAAAAGGAACGATTTTTGTTCGAGGTTACGTATGAATTACTAGTGGTTATGAAAATGAATTGTAGTTTATTATTAGTATACAAAATTAATAGAAATGTTAATAAGATTAAGAGATTTGGTTCGTGTTCATGCTGGTCATTTCGGTACAAAACGCGCGATTAACGATCGTCCAAACTACGTGACCAATAGGAATCGAGGATATCAGTCATGGGCCAATAGGAATCGGGGATATCAGTCTCGTACCGTCCATACGCGGTGCCTTAAGCACGACAGATTTGATCATTACTGAACGTTTTATATTCCAAACTGCATTGCATGTTTAATGATAAAAATTGACCAGATTTAATTTATGTTCATTTGAAATCAGAGAACGCATTGATTTAAACCTGAGTTGAAGGAAAACTGGTTTAGAGAAGCGATTTAACGTGTGTTTCTCCGTTTCTTTCAGACACGTTCCAGGCGCTAATACAGTACGCGGACATGGTGTCGGCGCAAACGGCCAAACTGGTGAGTAACCCGTTTAAACTTTCAACTTTTTAACACCGTCGGGCGGACGCGGGAACGCGCGCTTTGCGTAAGAGAAAATCCCCAATTTTTTCCCGGGTCTCCCTCGTTACCCGCGAGGACGCAGTTTATCTCGGTTACCCCCGCGGGACAGATAAACGTCTCTTTCTCGTGAGCCATCCATTAGCCGACCCGGTCAGGTGCCACCGGGCTAATGCAAATTTTAATCGCGCCCTACCGTTCGTTATTAAAAATTGTTATGCATAACGGGAAATATTATCTGCAGTATGTCGTTTGGGTACAATTTATACTTCTAATAATACTCACAGAGTTTGCAATATTTAGTGACGTACCTTCAATTTTAATTACTTATAGAGAACTTAATTTTTTATATTCAATTAATTTATTAACTAATTAATTATTTTATTGTTTCATTTATTATATCAGTTCTTAATTCACTTATAATTTCATTAATCCAGTTATTTATTAATTCATTTATTATACTATTAATTTATTAATTTTCTAATCAATTTATTGTTTCATTTGTCTATTTCATAATTCATGTCTGTCCATTTTCTAATTCATTTAATACATACATGATTAATCGATTAATTTTCTAACTCATTTAATATTCCATTAATTCAGTCATTTATCAATTCATTTATTATTCCATTGATCTATTCATTTATTGTTTCAATGGTCTATCAATTTCCTAATTCATTTAATACTTCATTAATCTATTCAGTTTCTAATACATTTAATAAAAAAATTTATCAATTTATTACTTCATCCATTGATTTTGAAATTCATATTTCACTTCATTCGTGAAAAGTTTACTCTTTCAGTCTTTTATATATAAAACGTTAGGCGAAGGTTTACAGATTGAATTAAAAACCGAAAGGCTTTCCACCATTTTTCCCCACTGTGTTTCTCCGTTTCCGAAGTTTGTTTTTCCAAGGTTTTATCCTCTTAAGATATAAGTCGATGAACGCTTCTATTGGAGTTTATACAGAATCCTAAGGTCGGTCTTGGAACAATGTTATTCCGTATAATTTTCCATTTTCCCCATAGGGAACCCTCTTCCGCTTTTGCTGTTAAGCTCAATAAAATTCCACAGTTCCAATCGCCGCTGTTTATTTCCAGTTGATCAAATCAAACGATCAGACCAAATTTATTATCTTCTATCTCGAATATTTAATAAGTTAAGTATGATTAATCAGCATTTTATAAGTACTGGTAAAATCCGATCGTTCCACCGTTGAAACAGTGAACTTTTGGCAAAAAAATTCGTTTTTCCTCAATAACTTGTAAACCCTTGCAGATACGGGAAAATTGCATAAGACCTTTTTTTTAGATCAGATCGCCTTCTACAAGAAAAGCACACTAACGGCCCTCTACGTCCACCCGTTCGGGAGTTATTGAGGAAAAACGAAAAGTCTTTTTAAAAGTTCACAGATTCGACGGGCGAATTCGCCTTCAGATTTTGCAATTCGCTCGTCGAATCTGTGAACTTTTAAAAAGACTTTTCGTTTTTCCTCAATAACTCCCGAACGGATGGACGTAGGGGGGCGTCTTTAGGCTCATTTTGTAGGGCACGACGAGATCTACAATTTCTGTGCAAAAAGAATTCGCTAGTGCCAATAGTTACCGAGTTATTTGCAAAAAACTGTTTTTCTGTTTTTTGCCAATAACTTCCAAACGGATGGACTTAGGGAGACGTATATAGGACCACTTTGTAGAGGACGACGAGACCTACAATCTCTATACAACAGTTTCTCGCTAGCACCAACAGTTCACGAGTAATTTGCAAAAAACTGTTTATCGTTTTATGCAAATAACTCGGTAACTATTGGCACTAGCGAATTCTTTTTGCACAGAAATTGTAGATCTCGTCGT